AACTCTAACTCCTCTCTCTCTTTCTCTCTCTCTCTCTATACTCTACTTCTTCACTTCTCTACCTTCACCTCTCTGCTTATTTTCACGCTCATCCAGCGGAAAATCGCAAATCGGCGGATTTTCGCGAGAGTGCGGCACCAAGGATTTTCCCGGCAAACTTCCGCGAACTTCCTTTACGCGCGCCGTGGGATCGGCAAGAAGCGTTTTCTGACACACGCCATCACGTCGGCCGATTCGTGTCAAGAAACTCGCTGAGACAGATACACCTTGACGTAACCGGATCGCGCAATCGCGTCTCCACCTGTCTCTCTCTCTCTCTCTCTTTCTCCCTCCCTCTTTGCCTCTCGCGTCTTTTACTTTTTTCTCCTCTTTTCTCCTTGAACGCCTCGTTTCTCGGCGCACGTTTGGCCGAGTTGCGAGATCGATCCAGTTTCACGTCGGCTCGAAAAACACCGAAAGCCTTTTACCCCCTGGCGTACGCCAGCGCGAACCGCTCGCTCGCTCGCGCGCACCGTTTCGCGCGGCTTGTTAACCGGACACCTCGATAAGATATCACGTACCGTGTTTTTAAATCACTCGCGGACCAACTCGCTTTCGTACCGCGCGGGAAAAGAAAACTCGATTGTTGAAACAGGAAGATTTCCGTGAGAGATTTCTATTCGGCCAATTGCTTTCGTTGTCTCAGTTATCTCGGTGAAAACCGAGCTTTTGAGTGCAAGGCACTTCACAGAGTTAAACGATCACCGGTGACGGAATACTTTGGGCTGTCGTACGTCAGCCATCGATAACAAAAAGTCACTTGAACTGAAATGTCCGTGAAAGGTCCACGAAGTAAATCCACGAAAAACGCGACACTGATCCTGAAGGTAAACGTTTCTACTCATCGCGGAAACCTCAAATATCAAAGATGTCATTTCTTACCGTCAGGTTTTCGCCTGGTCCGCATTTTGTTACGCGAACTAAAGTGTCTTTTGTGTGTGTGTGTGTGTGTGTGTGTGTAATTCTGGATGCGTATAGGTCGGTCTTTTGGCAACGGATGGTTCGCACAATTTGTAATAATAAATTACAATCTATACCGAGGAATTGCTTCGACATATTGAAACATTGAAAATTTTTCATTCATAATTGATTATTAATTACTATACAAGTTCCTGACCATAACACGTCGTTAAATTATACTTAGAAAGTACAAACGAGATGTCGAAACATGTCATTTCCATTGATCTCTAGTAGATTGTCTCAATAAATATGGGTATGGAAATTTCCGAGGAGATCTATTATCGCGACAGTGGGTCGCCTTCGTATATCGGCAAATATCTTATTCGCCTCCATGAAGATTAACGATGATTTCTCGTGCAGAGCGGTTGAATATCGCAGAAATATATCTCTTCATCGTCTTTCTCTCTCGCGCAGAATGGGGGAATTATTAAGGCAGTAGTAACCTCGGGTTATTAGTGACTCGTTGCAAAATGCCAACGTGACATTCACGCGGTGATCAGCGAAGGAAAGTCAGAACGGGCGAGCACGGAGACGTGAGGGAGGGAGAGAAAGAAAGAAAGAGAGAGAGAGAGAGAGAGAGAGAGACCGGGAGGGGAGGAGCAGGTATATCAGCTAAGGAAAAATGACGGATACGAAGCGGTTATGTACCAGTCGACCGGTTCTTCTTGTTACTCACTTCCTTCGCGAGACATATACTGGGTGACGATGACAACGCGTCCGCTGCATTAGCGCGCCGAACTGCATCCTGTGGCTGCAGCAGAAACGATCTTCTCCCTTGAACTTTAATGAAACTGGACCGACGAGTCGGAAATCGCACGCGTATCGCAGACAGGATCGTTTCAATTAGACAAAATAGCTTATCGGATGCGATTGAAACGTTTAGTCGGAGAAGGTCGGAGAATAAGATCTAGAGGAAATATGAGATCCAAGAAGAATAAGTTGAAGGATAAAGTTAACGGGGAAAGGAGCATTGATACTTACGACGTAATTATGAAGAGATGAAACGTGAGGGAAACCAAAGAAGCTGGAAAGGCTTTCGATTAAATTTCAAGGGGCGCCTCGATGAATGAATTCGACATTTCGACGTTCAGACGGCGGGATTAGTGTATTAATTTCGTCGTAATGGCGCGCTTGGACAACCGATTAAATATTATTATTACCGTACGTCCGTAAACAACGCCGCCATATCCGTAGCGCAAACAGGAAGCTTGCGTAATGCGCGTCAGATAAGTATTAAATATCTTTTATTGCGAACGGTAGCCGCCGCTTGATGAAACTCGGCATAAAGCGCATCGTTGGCTGAACTTCGACGCGATAATCGAATCGCTCCGCTAATGACAGACCGCGATGAAATTACGATTCGCTAATCGCGCAGCAGAGAGACGATAGCGGCTGAAACTCGAACCGCCGCCGAAGATGCGCTGTCATCTCAAGAGCGTTGACTCATGCCTGACATTTGGCGAATTTATACGGCCCGGAGGGACGCGACGAGGCAATTTCGACTAATTCATTAACGAGATCCACCACCGTGCGAAGAATTAACGCACGTAACGAGATAGAGATCCGCTCCGAGGATCCGCTCTATCCGGTCTGCTCTCTTTCCCTCGGGAGGATATGCAATCGTAACAAAGGGCGAATTCTCATGGCGCTCGCGAGCTCAGAGCGCGCACGGCCTTTTTTTCCCACGTCAGGCCGGTGAGGCTTTCGCGTGGAAGGAAATACGCGACAACGTCCAGCGATACACGGCGTCTTGATAAACGTCGCTTTCCTGCTTCCTGATAACGCGTGCGTGATCAACCTGCCGCGCGGCGAATGAGAGGTGTGCCTGTCCAACATCTGGCTCGTCCAAATCCACACATGAGTAAATTATTCACGATTTCGAGATCTTTTTTTCAACAATATCGCGAGAGATCGTCTATGACAAGCGAATCGCCGGGGTCAAATCGACGAGGGCGCGCGCGAGTTGAGAGACTTGATTTCTCAATTAACGCGCAGCAAACACGAGCAGTGAGAAACTCTGATCGGAGCGCGCTTGATTCCCCACTTGACCCAATATCGTCGCGGAGAAAAGAATTACTTTCGTGAGAGATGCGATCCGTTATACCGCGCACTTCTCTTTCCCTCTTCGTCTCTCTCGAAGCGATCGAGATACGTCGAGGGTGTCAAAGTCTCACGAGGCACTCCATTGTGGCCGATGAGCGGCACCGGTTTTCTCCGCGTCGGAGAGCGAATGCGAAAACACCGCGGAATCTGTTACACGTCACCGTTGCGCAATCGGTGATGAGCCTCGCGCTTACATCGCGAGATCTGATCCCGGTTTCAAGGAATTCATCGTAATTGCACACTTCTCGCTCATTTGTTCCCGGGAGGAGGTGACTCAGGAACGCTCAAGTCGCGATCATCGCTGCGCACACCCCGCGAAATTTCCGCGACGTAAACACGCAAACGAAATCGACGGGCCCCGAAATAGAAATGCTGGCGCAATTTGGACGCTCTTAAGATTAGCGCCTGCTTATACGGCCTGTAGACTAATAGAAACCTACTTTGGCGATACTGACACCTATTAATTTCTCTCTCTTGGACTTTTAATTCTACAGATTTAATACTAACGCTATCTTGAACAGCCTATTTTGACGTTAAAACAGCGAAAACGAAAATTTCTGATATCGTCAAAGTAGAGATAATAATAATAATAACACTTTATCGACCGATTAACTTATATATTGTATGGGTACCGTTGGAAAAAATCACGGAAAATGTGCAATTGGATGGCCGAAAAACAAAATAATTCTTTGCAGCTGGTATTATTATTTAGCCCCTTAAGGAATTAAGATTTATAAAAATTGTATATATAAATTTGTATATTATTGAAATTGAAATTGTGAGAAGTTATTTTTCTGTCTTAGATTTTACTGTGTTGCAGAATTAAAGATTTAATACAAAATTTCGACCGGAATATCAGCGCGGCTCGAGATTTCACCGATGATTGGTAATCACAAATAGGCATCGCAATCTCTCCGAGTAGTCAATGATAAATCCGAATAAATCGCAGCCCGAAGTTGCGTTTCATTTGCCGCACGCGCAATTGCCTTCAACATTGCGCGTCGCCCTTTCATTAACGCTAATTAGACGCAGGCAGGCGATAAGCCGCGATGTGTTCTTTCGCGGCACGCAGATCATGTTGTCGCGGCGCCCATTTATGCGCTGATATCCGCGTAGTTTTCTAATTTCTCTCGTGTGTGCGTATGTATTTGTGATGATCCCCGCATAGTTCTCCTCGTGTCGCCTACGAGAAGGAGATTCCTCTTGTTTCACAGCTCGGGGGTGAAATTCCGCGGCTTGAGTCTTTTCTCCATATTCTCACACGTGGAGGAATAGGTTCTCAATATGAACACTCGTCGTTCATACACATAGAAAAATACATGCTGCATTGAATGTTATTTGTTTCAAGCGCTTGATATAAATCCGCAAATATATCATAAATTTAGTACAAGCATCAAATTCATACAAAATATATTTTGAATCCTAGCAAGTTTAATTATTTCGCTTAAGAATATTAAAACAAACCTCGGCTTGTGCTTATTCAAATTAACCGAATTTAATCTTTCCTCGATAAGGTCTATAACATTTTGGAAAAGAGAAATAAATCTTTCTTTTGACTATTTGATAATGAGTTCTCTTTAAATTTATGATGAGTATATTTGAAAACTATTATCAAAAAAAAACATTCTCTGTTGAAGATAACTATTATTTAAAAGGAGGAAAATAAACGAAGTAATCGCTTTTCTCAGCAGTAGAACGATATTTTTCTCTGCTTATAAAATTTCGCGGACGTTCCTTAGAAACTGCATTCCCCGGAAATTTCATCCCTCAAATTCCTCAACCGTGTATCCCTTCTTTTTCGCTACTAGCTTTGAACGTGAATACACCCAATCCTCTTAAGTAGAAGAATTTGGAGAGTTCTTCGGAGACGTTTTAAGTGTTACGTGATAGGGTCGTACCTTTACCCTCGTCCGATGGATAAACCGAAATCCCCTTTCGCTTTTGCGAGAGATGAGGCAAGAAGTTTGTGTTCCATTCTTTCTTATTTTTCGACCGTTCGATGAATGCGTATAATATCGGGACACCAGGTATTCACGCGCCTCTTCCTCGGGTCGGCTTAAGCGGGCTAACACGAACGAATGTACAGTTACACGAATCGCCGAAGCCGCAGGAGGAACGCGTCACGTAAAAAGGAGGCCACAGGCGACCCGAGCGTCACCGTTACATCGGCGCCTACGGCGAGGCACCTCGGCTCACCTCGATTTACGACTAGTTTCTCGTAGCTTCAGCATCACGTGCACCGTCGCGCCGCTCCGACGCGTTCCGACGTTACGCTTGACCTTTGCACCCACCTGTTCAGGTTTGCGCAGCTGTCCGCGACACCTCGTGCAACACCTTGAGCAGTGGGTGCGCGATTCGAATTAGGACACGGTCTGGAGAAGAAGCGCGTCATCACCGTTGCCGGATGCTTGACAAACCGCCGAGTCGAACGAGTCGCACACCTGTAATCGCCCTTGATCCATTCGTGATAAGATTACTGGATTACAGTTCGACCGTGGGACTTGTATATATATATATATATATATGCATTAAAGGAAGAAAGAGCTACATTCAAATAAATAATTACTCCCATATTCCTTAGCAAATTTTTACTTGGATTAAATCTGACTTGAACGTAGCGAGAAAGTGATACATTAAAATAATATTTATTTAAACCAAATAAAAATACTTCGCTAAAGTGTATCGGAGTAATTATTTATGCAAGAGCGGACTTGCACGCTTCAATATCGCGATGTGTAACGGTGTTTCATATATTCACCGGGAGCAACCCGAATTGCCAGCGGGGTCGGATACTTTTGCAAGAAGATCGGAATTACCGCGGAAATGGACACGCGGTAACCGCATGAAATGATTTGCCGCACGATACGGAAAATTGCGCCGGCAACTCCGATCGAGCCGCACGCGAGTCGCTCGTTTGTTATCACGGCCCTATCATCGATACGATTTTCGCCAGACACGAAGATTCGAGGAATAGGAAGGAGGAAGCGCGGCCAACTTTCTTGTATCCTCCGGTGGTTCATGTTTACCTGTTTGCTTTCTAACGCTCGCGCCTTCTCCGGAAGAAAGATCGCCGCGTGCGCATACATTGAAATGAAAAGGAATGTCTCGCGGAATTTTACTGTCAATTTTTCTCACCGACGATGCACAACTTTTACAGCGATCAAATAGCGAGGAGAACATCGCGAAGATCGCATCTTACCAATTTCATGGACATGAGCAAAAACTCTCATCATCTTTTCTCACAACGTTCCTCCGATATCAACTTTTTCATTTCCCACGTTTGTCGAGCGAAAAGAATTTGGTTGATGCAGTTTTGTCCACTCCTCTTCTCAATTTTCTATTTGGATCTGCGAGTTTGACGAATCCTCTTAACGAATCTTTTTCGCTCTCTTACCCGTGCGTTTTGTCTTCCGAGTTCGTGCGCGTGCATAGCTTCGGCATGCGATTAATGCATAGGCGCATGCAGGAAGGAGGAAGTTGAACTGTGGTAGCAGCGCTGATGCGCCTCGCGATCACTAAATATCTCTGAAATTAAGCTTACGCGAATTATTTTCGCCTATTACCGTCGGGTCTAATAGTCACTTTAGCCGCATGTATTCCCGCGATTCCCACTCGCGTAGCAGAGCGGCAGAACGCTGCGCACTTAAAGAGGATGATCAATCTCTCTCGCGGTTGGAAACATCTCAAAATCTGCATCGTCGCAACGTTGCGCTCGTGAACGTTTAAATTAATCCAATTAATCCACCCTCATGCTACAAGTTAGCTAAAGATATTAAGAACGGGAAATCTTTCGCGCGATTTCCATAGCGATTTCCGCAGTCGTTTTATTTGAAATTCCTCAAGAGATAACTTTTCAAGTTTATCTCTCTTTAAGAACGGTCGGTATTGAAAATTTCACGAAGTCAAATTTCCCATTGATCAGAAATTAAAAAGTTGACGTCGGTTTACGTGCGTAGAAAGATTTCTTTGAATTTAGTTTACGCGTTTCTTTTACTTGGGGTTGTTACAAACGACATAATTTAATATTAAATACCATTTCGTTCGAACGAAAATGTTGTTTCACTAAAGTGAATCATATCGTTTGAGAAAACAGTTTATATTTAGAGATAATCAAATTTTGTTTTTTAGTAAAAACAAAATGCATTTCATTACATTAAATAATGTTCCACCGAAACAAAAGAGTTCTTCAATATTTTCCTAACATGGCATGACTTCTTTCAAATGGTTTATCGCTCGTGACAATCATTGCAATCCTGTTTGTTGAATCAGAAATTCGTTTCTTCGCTCTACTCCAAAATAGACAGATTGATTTCAATTCAAGAAATTCTATTAAACCTAAGGAAATCTCTTTGTGTATCGGACAACGCATTCTTCGGGTGTTATACATGTTACATCCGCGCTAATCCTCCGATGCTATATTTGTAACTCTGACTCGTCTCTGCCTCCCTCTCCGATTCTCGCGGTCGCCTTGAAACGAGACGGATGCATTCGCGATGTAAGAGTCGCCGCGACCGCGAACTTGGCGAGGGAGGACCGCTTACGGAGACGCCACGGAGATCCGGGAAGTCCCTCGCGCGTCAACACGGAAAACGTGAGGACATCCCCGCGGAGCGGAGTCCGACTCGCGTATACAGCGGCCGGTGCAGGGAAAAGAGCCCGCCACGGCATCGTCGCACCCTGCGGCGAGGCGGTATTTGTTAACGTGGAATTCGTGTCCGTTCCCGTGTTGTCCGATCGTGAGCTCCTCACGTGCTGCCGCCTTACAGTTAGGTTTTCGCAGGTCAGCATTTCCGCGCGCGCCTTCACGTAACTCTCTCTGGGCTTTCGCGCACACGAATTGCCGCAACCGTAAACACAAGACGTAAATTTAGGCTGAAGAACCAATCGGGATATTATTTCAGATTTATGTACTCTAGAGGAGGATAGAACTCTCTCTCTCTCTCTCTCTCTTAACGGTAAATCTGATCATAAACAGAAGTAACTAGGATTCGACCGGTTAAAATCTTAGTTGGTCTGAATATCGTACTGAGAAAAGAGCAGTCATCCCCATTCAAAAAGTATCGTGTCCACTGAACAAATAACGTTTTCATGCAACAATATGTTGTGTTGATACAATTGCTGGTCAAAGCGCAATCGTTGAATCAATTGATAACTCATTACAGCAACTATGTAATTTATTTAACGGACCAAACGATATGCTGGGAAAAATTTCGTTCGTTTAAGCGGAATCTCGTTGGTTCTACTTCTTTTCTCAATGTAGTTACACTTCCAACTTCTTCTAGAGTTGACAGAAACCTAAAGCGATATCCTGATTGGTTTGTCAACTTACGTTTTATGTTTGTGGTTACGCCAGTTCGTGGGGGAAAGCTCTCATGCCGACGTACGACGTCGAGGTTCTTCTCGGTCGGATTCCCCGTGAAATTTCAGTCAACCGAGCGACACAGCGATCACCGGTATCCTGTAATGACGACAGTGACATTGGTCATCGCGATCGCAGCTAATGCCAGCGTGTCATCGGCGGGATCTGATGGAACTTAATCGAGAAGAAATCGCGCGCATTTCCACGCGGGAAAGTCGCCGCTCGATTTCTTTGACGAGTGCATTTCTTTGACAGTAGTTTCTACTTTACTTCGTACAGCCGCATTTGTTTTGTACTTTCGAATGAAAGTACGAGTTTTTACATATCTCCGCGGCTGCCGAACCGCCGAGACAGAGTTGCGATTGCGGAAAAGCGGCAACGATGAGAATGAATAAACCCACGAGCGAGAGAGCCCGTGTTAGATTTTTGTCATTGAAAGGAAGGAAATGCCACAACGGGGCTAACTACGTCCTGGCGCGCATGCGCGTGTCGGTCGCGCGGGGAAAATTAATTCTCACTGATACAGCGCGCGAATGGAGAGAAATGCGAGCAGGTGTTTCGACGATTCCGAGAGTTTCGAGTTTACACGCCGGTTTTAAGAGCGGTTGTTTCAGGTTCGCTCTCTCTCGCGGAACTCCAAACCGCGCGCCTCCTATGCGCATTAACGTGCGCTAATGCCGGTGATTAGGAAGTTGCGCCGTATCTGCTCGTCGCGGTCATAAATCAACGTTATAAATCCGTAGTTAAAGACTGACCGCGCTGAGTGCGCGCACATCCGTGTCGCGTGTATCTATCATTCGTTCGCGTTTGTCGCATTAATTATCCTTTTGGAGTCGTGTAGTCGACGTAGTGTCGCAAGGTGGCGCGCTTCCTCGCGTTCTCCCGCGTAAGTCGACATCGTGTAACGTAACATTACACCTGAGCTTGATGCCGTTTGCCGCGATAATCGACGACGAACGTCGCATGGTGGGAGAAAGAGAGAGAAGGTTTCCATAGATATTTTTATATTCAGTGAAAACAATTAAGAATCATTTTGTTTGGTTCATGTTATCAAAAGAAAATTTGTATTTGATGACTAATGTTATCGATCATCAGCACGACAAACCGTCCAGCATTTTTTTCCGGAGCAGAGAGGTTGAGGTTGACCGAGCGAGATGAGAATTTTCGGATCTAAATCTCAAAATTATATTACATATTCCGGAAGCAAATTTTATTCCACTTTCTCTCTCTCTCTCTCTCTCTCTCTCTTTATCTGTTCCTCACGGGTTTACCTTGTTATCTTGTTAACTTTGAACAATCAATGTTCGCGGGAATTTCCTTCCTCCTCTGAGTATTACTGTCGAAAATGCCGCGATTCCTCCTGCGGGACTCTCAAGACAACCTTTCAGTCTCGTATGTGCAAATACGACGTTCAAGATTACGCTTGACATTGCGGCGGAACGATCTTACGTTTATATTTCCGGAACGTCAGTTCGTAGCCGGCGTTGTGGCTCGTAAGAACACTTGAAGGACACTGCGTCAATGGCAGAAGAAGACGTATTCCCGACGGAGGCGCGTCTCCGGACGCTAGAGGAGCGTTTTCCAGGGCGAGTTACCAGTTTAACCTTCTATATAAAGGCGTGCCGCTTTTAACCGTGCTGCCGGTTACTAGCTGCGCGCGCTCGTTCATGGCGACTGCGAGCAGGTCGTAGAGCAGGTAGCCAGGTGCACGATACGACGAGGGATAAGAAGGAAGAGCGTATGTGGCAAAGTTTCTCGGTTAGGGACGTGGGGGAGAGCAGGAATGCGCGAAGCGTAGTCGTGGACAACGAAATTCCTGCGGTGGAAAT